GCAGAACCGGGATGTGCCCCGTGTCTGCGCGCAGGTGCCTGACCCGCTCAGCATCTCATGGAGCTGGAAATGGGGCGGGAACTGTGATCGCAGCTCCTGCTGTCCCTGCCGCGGTGACAGGTTTCCAGAAGTGACTGGGGGAGCAGCTTCATTTTCAGGAGGTTTTATACTTGTTTCCAGCTCGATATTCACATACATATTGTATTACATGTACAGTTTTTCATGCTGTTTGATCTGAGACTTAATGGCAGTTACTTAGATAATTAAATATTTTTCACTTGAAAGAAAAGTTAGTTAATCAGTGTTTAAAGGAGGTGTTTAGTTGGACTTCTCAGAGTTGACCCCAGATTCCCCAACATTGCCCAACCCATCAGTTCTGAGGGGAACAGACAGAAGCAGTGCCAGAATTCCCAGTTTTTCCATCCCTGAAAAATGTCTAATTATAAGACTGAACTTCTTTAATTTCCAACATCTCATCTCTGACCTAGTGGGTGACCAAAGCGAGCTTTGTAACAATTCTGACCTTTTTCACTGTTTTTCCCCAGTGAGTGAGGAATCCAGCCGTGAGCCAGAAGTCGCTCCCAGGGAGCACATGGGCCCCAGTGGCTCCATCCAGCCCCGGGAGGAGAAGCAGGAGCCCGTGGTGGTCCGGCCATACCCACAGGTCCAGATGCTGACCCAGCACCACCCTGTCCAGTCTGGGGCCCCAGTGACAGTGACAGCACCACCAGCACATTTGACTCCAGCTGTGCCACTTTCTTTTTCAGATGGACTTATGAAGGTAATGAGAGGATTCATCAATACAATCTGTATGAGTAGGTTTTGAGAAAAAGTAACTTACACCAAAACCTTCCCTGCTTTTGATTCTAAAGCTTTCCTTGCATGTTCTGCTAACTGTGCAGTGTCTTGTGGGTTTGGCTGTTCTGGATGATACACTGAGGACTTGCTAGTATTTCAGCCATGATTTCTACCAAATTTCCATTTTTTCTGCAAGATATAAAGTTAACTGTTAATATCCGTGTCTGTAGGGCAATACCATAGCCCTGACAGATTCCACTGATGACCCATGCCAAAACCTACATATTTCCAGTACAATATATGCCTTTTCTTTGTTTGGAATCACCAAATGTTCTGTATCTTTCCTCTCCAAATATTAAGCCATACTTAAATAAACTTTCTCCTCAGGCTTTGACCCCACAGAATGATTGCAGCTTCACCACTGGGCTCTCATTTGAAGTTGCCAATGTTTCTGTTTTTCCATTTCTTGCAGCCTCCCTTGAAGCCCACCATGCCCAGCCGGCCCATTGCTCCTGCTCCACCCTCCACTCTCTCAGCTCCCACAAAGGTCCCTGGGCAAGTGACTGTGACCATGGAAAGCAGCATCCCACAGGCTCCAACAATCCCTGTGGCAACCATCAGTGGGCAACAGGTCTGGTTTTCTGGTGGCTTTTCTGTTCCATCTCACTGCATGCTCAGATCAGTACCAGTACAGCTGAGGTGAGGGAATGTAAAGAGAAGAGTTTCCCTGGTCAGTGCTGCCTGGACCATTAAACTTCAGGCTTGGTTATCACCATCTCTTTCCAAAGCTGCTGGTTTGTTGGGATTATGCAGCTGGATAGCACAGCCAGGCTGTGATGGCAGAGCCATAACCACAAGCTGCGTTTTTCCTTGAAAGCTCCTGCTCTGTCAGTGTCACTTGCAGAATTTCTGCTGTGGAGAAACTGCTGGGATTCATTATTGCAGTGTCTTCAGCTTTCCTGGGAGGAGATCAGAAGAGATCAGTGAACAGTTCATGGCTTTGCACTGTGTTCTTACTGAATTAGGACAAAATTTGAGGGAGTCTGTGTAGATAATTATTTGAATTTTTTCCCCTCTAACTTGGCTGCAGAGCCAGTCCTGTTGGTGTGAAAATAGTTTGTCAGAACAGTCACTACTAAACCTCTCAGGGTTTTGGTGTAAAGTGCCTTTAGGTAGACTTGAGTTAGTCTGGCTAAGGATGTGCAGCAATTTCATGGATTTATCTTATATTAATATCCCCAGGAGGTCTAGAATTATAAAAAAATAAAATATGTTCCAGCATTTGCCAGGTTTCTGCCATTCTCTCAAGT